TTGGACAGAGTGTGATTGTAGCAAATTTAGCCAAGTTTTAAAAAAAAAACCTTTTTAAAAAAAGTTAAAATCCCCCTTTGAGGTTTTTATATACAGGATCTTCTTCCCTAGTTTCAACGAAATGCAAACATTGGCATTCCACTTATAACATGACTGGTCTAATCGTGCACTATATGAGATGTCCTTGAGAGTTGAGGGGAAACAAAAACCAAAGAGGATACACTTCATTAAGAAAGATTTAAACAGAAATGCGGAGACAAAGCTGGAGTTTTACAGCGAAAGGGCTCATAATTTGTTTCTGTAATATCGAGAAATCGCTTTCCCTTTCAGTAGTGAGTTAAAAAGCAGATTTCCACTCATCCTGAAACATCTTATAACAATCATTCCCTGGAAACATTCGAATACCAATTTAGAAGAAGAATGTAATCTCAGTCCACCGCACAGCTTCAAAAAACCAGGGTTCTTTGCCAAAGTTATCTGGAGGAAAGATACAAAATCATGGTTGCAATCAATATATCACGTGAATGCGAAATGGAAATCTGAGGGAAGACTTAACTAACCTTACAGCAGAATCATTGAGAAGTCCAGCTCCTGCAAGAAATTACAGCGGAGAAGAGGACATGACTGATTCTACATCTTCTAGCGGCATCATTTAACTCTCCACTCGGCTGTCTGATTCTATCCGTCTCATAAGCTTGTGTCACCTGGTTGAATTAGAGGGAAGTTCACCATCATGATTTCCTTGTACAAGTGCTGCCCTCTCAGGGTTCATTAGCATAAGCTGCTGCACGTCCTTTGGAAGGACATTAAACACTGCCTGAAGATCCCCCCTTAGTTTGGAGCAAGTGGCATCAGAACCTGCCTCAGTAGTGCTCGACTGCTGCAGCAGAACATTGCCATCAAGAAAGATATATTGACATGACAATTGCTGATTAACAGAAGAGAGTGGTAATAGCTAGCCCTATGAAGGTAAAAGATGTCAAGCAGAAGACTAGATCACCTCAAGTTGAAAAACAGTAAAAAGATCCCATGCTGAAAATTTATATAACCAGTGAAGTCCCATTCTTTCATATTATTCTGTTGCATTTTTTTTAAATTAGTAATTCTGTAACAATGCTAAACCAAACATGTAAAATCAAAGCCAATAAACAGTGTAGTTTGCAGTTCAAGGTGCAAAAATTAAACTGGAAAAAGCCATCTTCAGCGAATATGAATCCAAATATAATGGGGTAATATGTGAGTATGAACAATCGATGGTGGTCACTTTCACTTCATTTAAGAAGCGCGACTATGAATCCAAAAATAATGGATAATATGCGAGTATTTTCCAAAATTCTAGACATGACATGAGTATAATCGGCAATACTATCTCAGCTCAACAAAATTGATATTTGTCGAGGCTATGCACAAAAATATGGTAAAAATGTGAATCTATCATCAATTAAAGAAAAAATGAAGGTGACAAGGAAATACAGCATGGATGTACAGCTAGAGGGTGCAGTTTTGTGTGCAAACAAGTTTAAGATCTATCAGCAATATATCCGCAGCTAACCTAAGATTTACCTTTCACTTCTATATTTCCTATTCCTTTCCTTTGTCAACTGACTCAGCTTATAAGACTTGGAAGGCTTTTATGACAAAAGAGTAAATGGAAGTTCGTTTAAATTGCTTAGCTCCTATAAATGCATGATTACTTCTTCAGTAACTAGAATAAAGTAGAACAGACTTATTATAGAGGAAAAATAACCCGTGAGTACAGGTAAAAAATAAGTTGCACACAGGTAAGACTTTTCTTGTTAAAGCGTGAAATGCACGGAACAACAACTAATTAGATATGTTTTCACCCTCTATCCCATCTTAAATATCTGTCAGGCTTGAGTTCTTTACAAGATCAAACAACTAACTAAGTCCTTCCAAGCCTGTAAATATCTCTTTAAATTTGTTAGTGCATAATCAAGCTGATCATGATGCATTCTTTTATGCTAAGTCTGGTTCCTGGAAGGGGAGGAGGAGGGTGAAGGAGAGAAATGAAATGGTTTAGTTCCCCTAAGACAACTATTGATGACTTATTTCTGGTTGTGGGTGTGGTTGCAAGGAAGTGAAATGTGATATGCTTCTTCCTTTCCATCGCATTTTGGAAGAGTTGAAAAGGCAAACATAAAAAGGTATCCAACCCCTTCACATTTAGTTCCCCTCCTCTTTCACTCTCTTGCCAAATAAAGGGAAACAACCTATACGACTCCACCTCCTCCAACCCTCCTATTTTCATCTGAAGCAAAGATGGGGTTGCCTACCATGATAACTTGTTCGCTGGAGTACTATGGCCTTCCCCGTTTGAGTGCTTCAAAATTTGTTGCTTGGACTAATCAACCTTTTTTTTTTATGAAGTAAGAGAATTTCATTAAAAGGCATCAAGAAGATGCATAGCAAAAATATACAACATAAGAGTGTCTGCTCATGTAAAAAAACTTACTATACCTAAGGAGCAGACACAATCCAAAAAGACTTCAATACTAGTTACAGGGGCCTGACTGATTATACAATTATTTTTATGAATGTGAATAGGAGTTGAAATCCCATCAAAGCATCCACGATTCCTCTCAGGCCAAATACACGAAAAAATAGAAGCAGGCACCATTTGCCAAGTTTTTTTATGGTCTTCTGATCTTCTCAACTCTCCATGAACACCAGCTCGCATAAGCATCCTTAATACTGTAAGGCATAACCCAGGCAAGTCCAAAAACTGACAAAACATACTTCAAATATCAGCTGCTACTGTACAGTGAAGAAACAGATGTCTCACACTCTCAGATTACCTTTGACACATAAAACATCTATTCACAGTAGGAATGCTTCTTCTGCTAAGGTTGTCTTGAGTAAGGCAGGCCTCGTACAAAGTTGTCCAGGTAAAACCATTACTTTTATAGGGAGTTTGTTCTTCCATATAAGTTTCCATGGCCATTTACTAATCAATTCCTTGTTGGAGCATAGATTGTCATATCCACTCTTGACAGTGTCGCTTCTATCTTCGGGTTCTCCCCATTCTAGCTTCATTCTTAGGTTGCTTAGACTAATCAACCTAATGCACTCTTTCATCTATCTAGTAGAATAGTAGAAGATGGAAAAGATGCTAAAACTTCCTCAAAAGGAAAATTACTAAAAGAAATGCAGAGTAAATATAAATTAAATTACTAACATACCTGTTATGAGAAAGACAGAATGAAATTGAATATATCTTTTCTTTTTTTATCAGTAAACAGGAAAGACCTACCATTTATCTTAGCAATTGTTATAATAAATGCACATAGCTATGGGTTATAACTCCTCATGGTGTAACAAAATAATTGCTAGAGTCATTATTAAGGAGCTCCTCTTATTCCACAAGCAATCAATGCACTTGAGATGCATTAGGTGTTTGCACAGATTTTATTTTCAGCAGATAGTCAATCATTGCAATGGGTAATCAATTGCTTCTTTCAACCTTTCAAACTCTCATCTAGATAAGATAACTGAGTTATTCAGGAAAGGGATGTCAAAATTTAATAGAAAGCTCAGAAATCAAATTTCTTAGGTTGACTTGCTTTTGAGTAACCAAAGTATAAAGTTTGCTCATGTTCGTCGTGTGAAAAGACTAATTTCAATTCAGAAGAACTGAAATTGCAACTCCGGAGCTGTTGCGAAGTTTGACTCGTGTTGAAAAAAATCAATTATTTTTACACGTTCCCAGTTAAGTTGAGGAAGATCAAGGTTCAAAACAAACTTCTAATAAAATGCGTTAAACCTATTCAGGCAGAAGTGAAAAAGCACACCACTATATCTTACAACATCAGATCCCTTATAAGACCAATTCCAGACCCATCCAAGATTAAGTATCTGTGTTTTTCCAAATGAACATAAGATGTATGTCGTCTTATGTTAACCAAGCATAAAAAGTTTTCTAATCTGCCCTATCTATCATCTACAAACAAGCACCAAATATTCACAGGTCTGGTCAGAAACTAATCAGGCTCTCGCGTCACCGTCAACGTGTAAATGCCTCGCACATCATGCCCCAGACCTCTGATTCAGCCAAGGAATATACAGGTTATAACTAACTACTAACATGACAAGAAGTATAGTGCAGTAGCAGCAAGCTAATCTCCGACATATTCACTCTGATGTCCTGACTAGTTGATTTCTATGTGCAGTAAGTCACAGGATTAAAGTCATGTTTGAACATATTCTGCATTGACACTCAAATGGTATAGTAGGTTAAGAAACGACAAAGCCAGACACCAGTATTTACAGCTGAGTTGTTTCTCCTCCTAGTTCAGCATTATGGAATTTTTTATCCACATGTTGCTCTTTGTCATTTACTTTGATGGTGTTTCATCTGCATAACCAAATACAGGCAATCTCAACTATGGCCATCATGGATGAACCCCCCCTCCTAAAATTGAAAACTCTCCCAGATGCATATGATTATTTAACATGAATAAAATCTTAAAGTCACTGAATTTACTCAAACAGAAATGCTGCTTCAGCCTAGTATTATTCAGCAAAAGAATAAGTCAGAAAACAATGGTAGCAAAGCCTTCAGTCTCAGCTAGGTGTCTCATCAACTGCTAGGATTTGTATCACTTTCAAACCCAGAGAAAGTGAAAGCAAGATTATCATAGGGATTTGTATCACCCCCAGTCTATGGAATTTGACATCTATTATATTAAATTCAGTCGGAAGCTTGGGGGGGATGAATTTGACTGAGCAGTGAGGCCAAAAGCATATACTAGCCCCTAATTGCTTCTAGTGGGTACAGAAGATGTCAGGAAACTGATCTAACAAGAGCTTGCCACAGTAAGTTTGCCCATTTTCACGAAAAATGAGAACTAAGGAATAAAAACAACACATCAAATTGATAAAAATATATTCACCTAAATGATTAAGACAAATAACTGTTGGTATTGTAAACATAATGGATGGCTTACTGTACTTGCTAATAAAGAACGAGAAGGGGAGAAACATGCCTTAAATGGCAGAATAACTCCAGATAGTCCAATATCTTCATTGTTTTATTTAGTTCTTTTTTGGAAAATTCAACATAAATTTCTTTTTGAGGTGTCATCACATGCTTGTTCCGATTGGAACCACATATAAAGTTTGTCGCATATTTTTTTCCTTTATGGAACTCTCCAGCCCAGGGATGGGTAGGTGATTGCTTGTCCTTATCTGTTCATTAACCAATATGGAATCACTAAAGCTTCTACACAGGCACACAAAAAACAGATATAGAGGGTGTTTGGCTAAGCTTATAAGTTGGTCAAACTAGGTTATAAGCACTTTTTGGCTTATCTACGCGTTTGGTAAAGTTAAAAGTGCTTATACGCCAAGTGCTTATAAGTCAAAAATAAGCCAAAAGCCATAAGCTGGTCACCCCCATCTTATGAATTTTTAGCTTATAAGCACCAAGATTTTTACTATTTAATCCTTAAAATATTCTTTTTAAAACATAACTCTTACATAGATACTCACTGCCTCAAGTATTGTTTCAACCTACCCCCTCCCCTCTCCCTCTCCCCCCGCCTCTTTAAGTCTGCAATGCTCATTGACTATTTAAGATAGGCAAATTCTCTATTCCTTTGCATATCTGTATCTATGTGATAGTGTATTAATCTTTGAATTGTATGTAATAAATAAGGACATATCAAATTTTTTGTGTATTGCTTTCTAAGTGTTGTAGTGATGAAGACAGTGTTTGTTTCTCTTCAAATATTTTGTCTTATTTAGATTTATTTTTTTGCTGAGAAACTTTTGTCAATTTATTAATTATTGTAACTTATGATTATATTCTTATCATAAAATAAATTATATTTATCATAAAATTTATCTTAACTAATCACAGTTGTATTTAAAATAAAATGACAAGTATAATATTTTGTATTTGGATCGACTTGGAATCTAAAATTTTGAAGAAATTACGCCCTTATAAGTGTAAACAGTTCTAAGGTTATTTAAGTCATTTTAACAGAAAAAGAGCTTATCAGCACTTTTTTATCAAATGCTGCAGCAGCTTATTATCAACTTCAGCACTTGTATCCAAACACGTAACTACTTATTTATTAAATCAGTTCCAGCACTTAAAAGTGCTTTTCAGCACATAATGCTTATCAGCTACTTCAAATCAGCAAATCCAAACGGGCTCATAGATAAAAACAAAAGGAAACAGATAAGCAACAAGGAAGTAAATGATGCGCCTTATACGCAATGAGATATTTCAGAAAATAATGTGATAATATATATATATATATATATATATATATATATATATATTATCACCGAAGATTTATGTATTAGCACCGGACTTTAGCATCAGTGGTAGTATTAAACAATCTGTCTTTATATAGAAACAAGATATTTCAGTCTCTTTTTTCTTTTTTTGGGGAGGGGGTGATAAGCACATAGTTTAGTCACTTAGAAAAGAATGATCAAATATAGTGTGACAATCACATCTCTAACTACAACAACAACAAACCAAGTGCAATCCCGCACGTGGGGTCTGGGGAGGGTAGTGTGTACGCAGACCTTACCCCTACCTTATGAAGGAAGAGAAGTTGTATCCGATAGACCCTCGGCCCAAGAACAGTGAAAAGGACACAATAAACCAACATTAACAATCACATTTCTAACTCATAACCAAATTTCCTAGTTTCATTTTATAATTCATTATAAGACAACAGCAACAACATTAGCAACAACAAACCCAGTGTAATCCCACAAGTGGAGTCCGGGGAAAGTAATGTGTACGCAAACCTTATCCCTACCTTGTGAAGGTAGAGAGGTTGTTTCCTATAGACCCTTCTGATAATTCGGTATAAACATTTCAATATTTTTGTATACATCCCTTATAGGTGAAAAACTACTCAATAGTCAAAATACCCTCGAGAGAAGAAAAAGGAACTGTCACTATAAGTTTAGGAAAGTACATACCTGCATTTCTCCAAGAAGATGCCTCTCAATTGCATTAAACGTATCAACTATCTCCAACTCAGACATTCTAGATATCAACTGTTGAATGTCAGCCCTCATTCTAGCTTGCCTCCACAGCCTATACTGTTCTTGTTCAGCAACAGCACGCTTTCGTTGAAACCAAGGCAAAAAGTTGTGCCCTTTCAGAAACCGCCTGTATGGGTACAAGTGATCATTTTATTTTGAGGCAAGCGACAATCTGTTAATCACGTGTATAACAGTTTGCTAGTAAACGTTGAAGAGAAAAACCCTACGTGGTTAAGAGAAAGTATTCAAGAAGAAAACTGACCATTTTTTACCTGTAAAGGTCCAGCCAGTTGGATTTCATCCTCTTCAACAGAAACTTTCCAGGACCCCTTGCAGATAAGCTAGCGAGGAAGTCCTCAGCATTAAATGTGGGTAGAGGAGGAGGATCAATATATGGAGAAGATCCTTCAGAAGGTGTTGTTAGTCTATAATATGGGCCAAATGGGGCCAAGAAGTTGGTTGTCAGCTCTAAGAAGTGCCGACGAAGTATGTCATTATTAACAACTGACATTGATTCCTCTACCCTGGGTGACAAACCTGCATCAATTAGCCTATTCAAGATTGAAGTGTCTGGCTTTGTAATTGGAGCGTAACTGCTCCAAATGGCTTCCTTGTGCTCAGTCATCAGGCAGAGTGGACCATCTCTCCTCAATTTCATAGCATTCAAAAAATTTGAAGGCGCAAATTTCCTCAAGGAAAGATTAGGAAGACTAAGTCCTTCAGGTCCAGCCGGAATTCTGCCAGTTGAAGCTCTAGCAGCAAATGGAAGTCGAGTTGCGTTCATGGTAGGATTTCCAACCGATAAGACGTGTGGAATGCTTCGAAGGGCTTTCAAGAAAAAGAGGTTTGTCACACCCAAAATCATTGGAGGAAAAGCAGCACCTTCTTGAAGGGAGTTTAAACGAGCAAAATCGGGGTCATGAATAGTAAAGTAAGGCCTGAAATCAATGCTACAAAGAAGCGGAGCAACCAAACTAACCAAACCAGCAACAGCTTCACAACACTGAGGTGGCGTTGGCGCTATGATAAGCATGGGTTCTCCAATAAGTAACAATTCCCATAACTTCCAAAGCTGCATTAGAAGTCCCCTAAATGTCCCAAAAAGATCTGCATCATGGAAAAGACCTTGTGGAACTGATTGATTGGAAGGAAGAAACGGGGCTATTGGTGAAGCCAACTCTTCAAAAAGTACTCCACAATCCAAAGGCATACAATGGGCAGGTGGCAAGTTCACTTTAAGAGTAGCATTACCAATTGGAAGCTCCATTAACTGACCAGGTACAGGAGCAGGCCACATTGATACATAAGCAGCAATAAAATTAAGGGCTTTCTTTCCAATGTCAAAGTACAAAGGACCCATGATCTGCAGCAAAGGTCTAAAGACACTAGAAAACGGGTTGTGAGAAAGAATTACCACAGACTTCTGCTCACCACCCCGTTTTAGCCTTTCATCGTGTCTCTGCCTATTAAACACAAAACCATACAAATATCTAGAATTCGTCCCCGTTTGAATTCTACTCCGTTGTTTTAACACCTTATCAGTAGCTGTCACTCGAGTATCATCCACTTCAACTATCTCGGATGAAGGCAGAGGATTCCCCTGCCTCCGGACACGAAAGAAAAAGATACAATCATGGATACTTGATCGGTTATGATTCTGAGAAACGGAATCCGGAAATGAGCTAAACGCAACTTCAAGCTCCTCATTATGCGTTAGACAGCCCGAGGGGTAACACTCTTCAATGAGCTGTCCCTGTTCTAGATCAAACCTAATGATACAGAACCCAACTACCCATTGCTGTAAGGAATTTTCATCTATTTTTAAATTATCTGCTTCTGATTTCACCGAAAATGATGGTGATCTGCTCATTTCCGGCTACTTCAAACAACTACAACATATTCATACTAATAAAATTTGGCTTCCCATTTGTCATTCCAGAAAAATATACAGAAACTTGTATAACCAATTCAACCTGTAAAATTAAAGCATTAACTCATTAAGCATCATATAGGAAATTAAAGAAAGCTCAATTGATGAAGCAAAACCAAATAAATAAATAAATAAAACTAGGGCACATGAATTTGGCACCTGAATTCAACAAATATATATATATATATATATATATATCTGCCTCGAACGCTGTAGATGGATCGGAAGATAAAAGCTTGAAAGATTAAAAAAACAAGTGGGTCACGGTTCAGTTATTAAAAAACAATTGCGTCTGGATCCAATGTGCTTGTTATTTATCAGCAAAGGGGGCAAAAAAAAAGAAGAAAAAAACAAGTGGGTCTATCCAAGAATTTGAATGTGAGGGTACAGCGAGGCTTAACAGCTGGGAACAGACTATTTACGTCTATCAGCAGAAATAATCCATAATTAGAGTAGATTTTGGAATTGGGTTTTATAGGGAGGATAGAGGTCTCATTCAAATCGAACTTAGCAGAAAATGGAAATGAGGGACTAGACTGTTAATAATCATGTTTGGATTTCTCTTTTTCAGATACTCGTCTCTCTCAACCCAAAAACTCCTTTTTAGCTGGTTTCGCCTTGAATGAAAATAAGATAAATTTGTTTTTACGAGACAAGGGCTGCTTTTGGGAGAACATAGAAAGACAACGCATATAAAATACCGTAAAAAAGTATCTCTATATAACAATACTTCACTATAAAAGTCTAAGTTTTTCCGAAATTAATTTTCATATTATGTTATTATATATATACTAATATTAGTACCCATACAGACGCGCGGACACTAATCATATCAAATATTTAAGTTATTTGAATTGTATGTAAATAATCTTAAAATTTACACTTTCTCAGTAAATATAGATAATCATTGAATATTAACTATATGAAGAAAAAAAATAACCATTTCTTCTATTTTTCTTTTTTGATACCATTCTTGTCGGTGTCTTTGCATCCTAAAAATAGTCAGGAAGCAAAATAATAACTCATATTTATGGCAAAACAATCAAATGTTGAGACAATGAATGACTCTTTGGATAAGACTTAACTCTTTTACTACTATTGTACTCTTATTTGGTGTGTTCATATCTCTTAAAAATATTTCTTTCTTAAAATTTTAATTTCTAAAACATTATTTTTCAATAATACTTATTTTTATAATAATCTGATTGAAAATATTATTCTTAATTCAAAACTCATTTTAGTTGGCTATCTAAAAATATAAAAATAGCTAGTGAATATCTGAGTTATTTGAATTATATGTAAATAATCTTAGCATTTAAACCTTCTAAATAATTATAAATAATCGTCAGATATTAATTAAGAAACATTGCATGAAAAAAGACTAACATTTTCTCAATTCTCGTAGTGATAATTTTATTTTTACACTATTCTCATATGTGTCATTGGAACCTAAAAATAGCCACAAAGTGAAATAATAACTCATGTTTATGGCAAAGCACAAAGGTTGACACGATATAAACGATTCTTTGATTACGACGTGACTCTTATACTACGACTTGAACTCTTATTTGGTATGATTTTATCTTTCAAAAAATATTTCTATTTTGAAATTTTAATTTCTAAAATTTTATTTATATTAATAATAATTATCTTTATAATGATGCAAGTGAAGAAATTATCCTTGATTTAAAATTAACTTTAATCGGCTATCTAAAA